ATAAGGCTATAGGGCTATCGGGCTGTAGGGCTATAGGGCTGTAGGGCAATAGGGTTATAGGGGTATAGGGGTATATGAACTACTGAGCTATTGAGGTATTGGGCTATAGGGCTGTAGGGCAATAGTGCAAAAGGGTTATAGGGCTATAGGGCTATAGGGCTATAAGGCTATAGGGCTATAGGGTTATAGGGCTATAGGGCTATATGGCTATAAGGCTATAGGGCTGTAGGCCTATAGGGCTATAGGGCTCTAAGGCTTGTGCTCAAGGGCTATAAGGCGATAGAACGCCCGGGCACCCACCAAGCAACCCCGGGCACCTCCGGGCACCCCTGGGCACCCCCGGGCACCCCCGGGCACCCCCGGGCACCCGGGTACCCGGGCACCCGGGCACCCCCGGGCACGCGGGCCTGGCCACCGAAATCGGCGACGTAGGTCACCTACACATATGAATCCGCTAGGACCCTTACAGAGGCAAACTCTGATAGCGGAATCAGAATAATAATAGTAGTAGAAGTGCTCGGAATAGTCGTAGTCATAGCCGTAGTCGTAGCAGCAGCAGGTGATCATGGATCGGCGTCGGGCGCCACTCCGCTGGACACGCCAGGGGCGCAAGAAAATTGCGGCGGTTGCACGTTTGGCAGCATGCGGGTAAGCGAGGTGTCCTCTGGATTTTCTGCAACAAGGACGCCACTGCGCTGGGCCACCAAATTGCGTAGGGAAGTGGCGACTGTTGCAGGGTTGGGAGAACCCAGGAAAGCGAGCTCTTCATTTTCTGCCAAATTTTGGGAGAGGCGGAGGAGGAGAAGGGCAAGGAAGGCCTTTAAGAGTAGAGGCTCCTGGGACCACCAAGAGGCGCCCAAGACGCCCCAAGAGGCATCTAAGAGGCGTTTGGCCGTTCTGCTCGCCCTCCTCCTCCTCTTCCTCATCCGCCTACATTTGGGCTGCTGAAAAAAGGAACGCCAAATAAGGAACGAAGCCCCTCTGCGGCTTCAAAAAAGCATGGGTGCACGAGAAGGGCTAGAGGAACAACCGCGGAAGGACGTAAGGAACATCGAGCCCCTTCCGAATCCAAAGTGTTCCTTATTTCAGCGTCTTGGCTGTATTCCTCCTCCTTCCTCCCTCCTCCCTCCTCCCCCTCCCCCTCCTTATCCTCCTCCTCCGATTCATCCTCAATCCGCCCCCTCTTGGAGTACGACGGCTTCCTCAGCCCTTTGTTCCTGCATGCTCCTCCACATGCCTTATCAGGGCAACTCGCCTGGGCATCGTCTCTGGATGGGCTGTTGGGACGACGCGCGAAGTGTCTAGAACTTGGCGGAGAAGGAGAAAGCGGGGAGCCCACATAAAGGACGTACGCGCCCAACCACGCACACGAAAACGGCCCCCCACTCCGAGAGACAGGCCGCGTGATACGAACGTTCGCGTAATGCGCACCCTCAAAACCAACGTGGATGCATGTACGTGCACGTCCTTCTTTGAAGGGGAACTGGGACACACAAATAAATACACACACATAAAAATATCCCCCATATTTTCCCATATTTTCTGGGTTTTTGTCTTCCCCCCACTTCCCATATTTTCCCATATTTTCTGGGAATCGCCGATTAATTGTGCCTGTGTGTTTTTTCCCCTCCTGATTCTTTCGCTTCGGAGACGGCGAAGGGTACGGAACTCGCAAAGCAGCCGCAGCTCGCCAGCGTCTGGCTGCCGTGCGCAGCCTCGCACCGCCTGCCAGGTCCGACCCTCTGGTTCTCGGGCACCCCGGGAAGCGGAGTCTACAATAAGATCTGCGGAGGACGCCACGTCGCTGGACGGCGCCCCACGGGCCTGCGAGGAGAGGGCCAACGGGGAAGAGAGGAGACGAATAATTAGGAGGATGCTTTGGGAAATCATGAAAGAAAGAGATAACTACGGAGGAGAAGGACGGAAGAGCAAGAAAGGGAGACCCGGAGATCCGGCCGCTCCAATGTCCAGAGATCTGGGCCACTTCCCTGGGGCCATCTCTTCGTCCTGGATCGTTCCTTGACGGTCCCGAGGCCCCGCGAGGGCCCCCCTGGAGCCGAGAAACGGCCCAAAACATGCCGCTTCTATTTTTGTTGGAGCGCCGTATCTGCGGGAACCGAGGAGCAGGAGGGGGAGAGGAACGAGGAGGGGAGTTCTCGGGGGCGACGACGGGGGCGCATAGCCCGGGGGAGAGCCGCACATGTACCCAGGGTGCGCCGATGGTCTATGCCTTCGGCCTTCGGCGAGGCTCCCGGGCGAATACGTGCGTTGCTCACAAAGAGCCGACGTCGTGATTCTTCCAATACGGGGCCCCCCAATTCTCGACCGATTCCCCCAGGACCAGCTTTTCATCCTGAATCGTCTTTTGACGGTCCCAGGGCCCGGCGAGGGCCCCCAAAGGCAACACCTCCGTCTTGATTTTTTCAATGCGTTGGATCTCTGGGTTCCCCCCTGGGCTCTTCGCCCCTATTCGTCGCCTCCGAAGTTCGGCGCGCAGCACCTTCCAGTCCAGCGCGCCGACAGACTTTGCCCGACGCGCAGACGAGGGGCGCGCCGCCGCCTGCCCTGGGGCCTGCGGCGGAGGGGGGGGGGAAATGCAGAAAAGGGCAGGAGAGTTGAGCGGGGGGGGGCAGGGAGGAGGGCGGGGCAGGAAGGAGGGGGGGAGAGAGGGAACCCAGAGATTCAACGTATGAACAAAAATGAAGTCGGAAGTCTTTCGCAGATTTCGGCCTCTAGCGGCCCTCGCCGGGCCCTGGGACCGTCAAACAACGATTGAGGATGAAAAGCTGGTCCTGGGGGGATCGGTCGAGACTTCGGGGGGCCCCGTATTGGAAGAATCACGACGTCGGATCTTCGGGAGGAGGGGGGAGGAGGGAGGGGGGAGGAGGAGGGAGGGGGGGCATCCTACACCGCATCCGACCCAGTACATCTGGATCCCCCATCGGGCAACGTCAAAGCTGTGGCGCGGCGATATACTGGACAACTCGAGTGCGCGTGATCCAGAAACTAGTAGGTGCACGATAAGAACTACGGTTCCTTCCTGCCTTTATTACTTCAGATTCTTACTGCTAATAGCTCCAGTGCTGCTACATGCGCTTCCAACCGTTGTTCGTGAATTGGCAACAGAGAACAACGCATCAGGAACGATATGCACTACGGAATCGTCATGATAGCGACGTGAAACCGTAACGCGCACACATGTTTTTTTCTGATAATAACTGCCCTGCTGCCATCATGTCGATACTCGGGAAGGACAGCCACAACCGCGCAACGCTTGCCGACCGCTGTGAACGATTTCCTGCTGACGCCCGTGGACCCCGCTGCGCGGCTGTGAGAACCTGTGAGAACCCGGGAGCTGAGCGCTCCCCAACGCCTGCGAATATATGTGGCCACCTGTGAGCGTCTGTACACGCCCTCGCGCGCCTGTAAAACTTTGCGCGAACCGCTGTCGGTCTGCAAGTGCGCGACGCATCGCTGCTAGCATGCTGAATTACCTTCCAACCGCCATGTTGAAAGGGGATTGAATGGGACATCGACTGTCCGCATAGTTGGTATTTTGTTTTTTGCTGCGGGTGTTTGCGTACTGTGGATGTTTTGGGAATCGCCATGGTGGTCGGGCAACTGCAAAGAGACCGTAGCACGTAACACATGCATGCCGAATTGACGAACTGCTTTCGTGTCGAGTTCGATGCCGTCGACTTGCCGGTCTGGGAAACGAAGTGCAACCCCATTGCGCAACACTTGAATTTCGGGTTCGGCCACTGCTGTCGGTCGCCAAAAAACGAATGCTGTGAGTGCTCAGGAGTTCCCCCAAACCAATTCATGCTTTGAGAGGTCCAGATAGCCTTCGGAAACCGATTCCGGCTTGGAAAATAAGAGCAATTAATGCCAGAGTGCAGTGACGTGCCGTGCCATGCCGTGCCGTGGTGTGCCGTGCCCGGATTTCAGGCTGCTGAACACTGCCGCCCACGATAGAGGGCAGAAGACCCACCCCTATAATAACCCATCCGACAAGCGAAGCCGTTCAGTAAAGGCACCCAAAGCGAACAGGGCAGGGCTGTTTAGTAAGCGCCAAGGGCCGCTTAAAAACCCCAATCCCACCCCACCAGCCCTCTGGGCGTCGGTGGTTTAGGGCGTTTCCTCTTCCACCCCTCCCTCTTCCCCTTCGGGGAGGGGTTTACCCCTCCCCCTACCCCCTCCCCTGGACCTGGACGGGGGGCGCCGCGGGTAGTTAGAGCGTCCAAAACGGACTCGGCGAGGAAACCCAAATCATTGATTTTACTAGGGTTTTGGCCCCATTTTGGCCTCCTGGGGGGGACCTTAATTGAGGGACCCCCCTTCGTTGACCGATCTCCTCCAAGATGGCCCCAAGAAGCGCCCCAAGAGGTCCCAAGATGGCCCCAAGATGGCCCCACGAGGCCCCCCAAAGGCCCCCATGAGGCCCCCAAGAAGACCCTAAGCGGCCTCCCCGAGGCACCCAAGACCCGAAGAGCCCCCCAGGATCGCCAAGAGACCCCCGAGACGTCCCAAGAGGCCACCAAGAATCGCCCAAGAGATACTCCAAGAGGCATCCAAGAGACTTCTGGCCCTTGTTTTGCCCTCCTCCTCCTCCTGTTCCTCCTTCCTGCTCCTACTCCTTCTCTTCCTCCTTCTCCTCCTCCTCCTCCTCCTCCACCTCCACCTCCGCCTTCTCGTCATCCTATTCACCCTCCTTCTTCCCACTCCCTCATCCATCCATCCATCCACCTCCTCCTTCTCCTCCTCACTCATTTGCACGGTTCGGCCGTCCTCCTCTTTGCTGCCGCACTTCCCCGATCACCTCAACTCGCCTGGACATCCTTTCTGGATGGGCTGGTGGGGATACTTTTTTAGTCAGCGGCCGCGGGCGAGCGCACCAGCGGCGAGTCAGGTCAAAGCGGGCTACGCAGGAGACTAATTAGGCAGGGTTGGTGGGGATACTTTTTTGATTGCGGCCGCGAGGCAACGGTCAGGCGGCGAGAGCAGAGTCCGGGGCAACGGCACCGTGCGAATTGGCGAACGCAGCAGCCAGGATGACAAGCTGAGACGCGTCTGCAAGCAGGTAACATATGCACATGCACAATACAAAATGAACTAATTCAAAGCTACGGAGCGAGTCGCCGGATCGGCGCCAGACTCCGAGCCAGGCTCACGCCTACCGGCGGGCTGGAAGCGGGCAAAGCGTGAAAAACAAAGCAGGCGGCCCTCGGACGGCTGAACCGATCGAGGCGCTGACCTCGTCGTCCGTGCCCAGCCGCAGTAGCCCGCGATGGCCCGGAGCACACCCAACCGGGCGACCTAACGGGACAGACCGTCAAACGGCCGGACCGGCGGGGGGTACCCCAGCCAGAACGGAAAAGCCGGCCACTCAGAGTCGCTCAGGTCACGAAGTGTGCGGAAAGCTGCTACCGACGACCCGGAGCGCGGCTGTCGCTGAATCCAGTTGCGCATTCCGACGGCAAGCACCAGTGCCAACCTCGGGGGCCAGCGCTGTGTGCCGGTGTCCTGCGAAGCTCCTGCCGGGAGTGAGGGGTGCAGCTGATCGCCGCGAAAGACGGTTAACACCACACGCTCCCCAAGCCGAGCTCACCTGCGATGTGAGGGAACCGCTGACTGCCGCGGAGCACCGCTGCTGTGGGCAGACTGCACCAGCAACTCCAGGTTCTTCGAGGCGCAACACCCGTGCCGGCGAAGTCCGCGACGTCCAAGCGTCACTGGGTAGGCCGAGACGTAGACAGATGAGCCCAGCCCCGCATCCCAGCTGGTGGGGATACGCGAAGCGTCTAGAATTGAATTGTCGGGTCTGGGTGGTTTTCCCTCCCTTGACACGAACCGTGCCGTGCCGTGCCCGTGCCGTGCCCGCCGCGCCTGGGTCTCGGAACGCAACCGCCCACGTGCCGTGGCGTGCCGTGCTGCTCAGACCGGGGAGGCACTGCTGCGCGCGTGCCGTGCCGTGCCCGCGCTCGGCTCCGGGATGCGAGAGAGGTGCCGCCCGCGTGCCGTGCCGTGCCGTGCCTGGCTTGTCAGAGTGCGCAGGATGACCGCCCGCGTGCCGTGCCGGCGCCTGGCCTTCAGACTGGTGTCGCTCGCGCGGCGTGCCGCGCCGTGCCGTGCCGCGCTCGGCTTCTGCGAATGCAGAGCGTGCCGCCCGCGTGCTGTGCTGCGCCCGCGTGCCGTGCCGTGCGGCCGCGTGCCGTGTCATGCCGTACCGTGCGCCGTATGCCGCGCTCGGTGTCCAAAGGGCAAAACAACTGCCGCCCGCGTGCCGTGCCGGTGCCGTGTTGTGCCACGCCGCGTGCCACGTCGGTTCTGAGCATGCAACATAAATGCCGCCCGTTTGCCGTGCAGGTGCCGTGTTGCGCCATACCGCGTGCCATGCCGGTCCCGAGAATGCAAGAAACTGGCTGCGAAGGCATGCCGGGCTGTGCGCTTGTGCGTGCCGTGTCGCCCGCGGATGCCGTGCCGCACGCTGGTATCTGGAATGCGAAAGAAATTGCCGCCCGCGTGCATTGGAGGAGGGAGGAGGAAGATAAGGAGGAAGGGGATGAAGAGGAGGAGAAAATGATGATGATGATGATGATGAGGAGGAGGAGGAGGAGAAGAGGAGGAAGGAGGAGGAGGAGGAGGAGGAGGAAGAGAACCAGTGCAAACCCAAGAGTCATCAACGATGTTGGAATTAATCCTCCCTCCAAACTCCCTCTTCGTAGGCCCTATAACTGTTTACTACCCCGTTGAGGGAACACCCTCGTTGGAAGACAGCCGTTTTAAGATCCTGAAACATGCAAAAACATTGTTCTCGGGATTTCAACGCCACGTATCAACCTGACTGCTGCGTTCGGACGATCCAAAATCGTGCCATAACGCCATTTTGGGGATGTCAACATCGCGAACCAACAGAACTGTTGTTCCCGCATAATCCTGAATCCTTCCAAAACACCATGTATGGTACGCTGGTCCTGGGAATCCGTGAAATTCTTGCAAGCTTTGAAAACGAACGTGCGCGGCGCTAAGGCGAGAGCCACATGTTGAAAAAGAACCGCCATCAACCCGTGAAACTCTTGCAAATGTTTAAAACGAATGTGCGCAGCGCTGAAGCGAGAACCACATGTTGAAAACCACCCGCCCTCAATCCGTGAGACTCCTGTAAATTTGTAAAACGAGTGTGCGCAGCGCTAAGGCAAGAGTCACATTAAAAAACAACCCGCCCTCAATCCGTGAAACTCTTGCAAATTTTGACAACGAATGTGCGCGGCGCTAGGGCGAGAACCACATTTTGAAAAGGTACCGCCTCAATCCGTGAAGCTCTTGCAATTTGTTCAAACGAATGTGCGCGGCACTAAGGCCAGAGCCACATGTTTAAAACCACCCGCTCTTCAATCCGTGAGACTCTTGTACTTTTTGAAACGAATGTGCGCGGAGCTAATGCGAAAGCCACATTTTGAAAACCACCCGCCCCCCATCTGTGAAACTGTTGTCAATTTCTAAATTTCAGAATCTTAAATGGTGAGGAAGTCTCATGCGAAACGCCCTGCCCGCCCTAAAAAGTGGTCTCGGGGTGCGACAGGGAGAATTTATCTATAAGGAAAAGGAATGGAGGAGGAGGAGGAGGAGGAGGAGGAGGAGGAGAAGGAGAGGGAGGAGGAGGAGGGAGGTAGAAGGCAGGAGGAGGAGGCGGAGGATGAGGACCAGTGGAAAACTAAGAGTCATCAACGATGTTGGAAATAACCCTCCCTCCAAACTTCCTTTTCATAGGCCCCCACAACGGTTCATTTACATTGAAGAAACTGCCTCGTTGGAAGACAACCGTTTGAAGATCCTAACGCATGCCAAAGCATTGTTCTCGGGATTTCAACGCCACGTATCAACCTGACTGCTGCGTTTTGACGCTCCGGAATCGTGCCATAACGCCACTTTGCGGATGTCAGCACCACGAACCAAGAGAACTGTTGCACCCGCATAATCCTGAATCCTTCCAAAACACCATGTATGGTACGTTGATCATGGGGACCCGTGAAATTCTTGAAAACTTTGAAAACGAACGTGCGCGGCGCTAAGGCGAGAGCCACATTTTGAAAAGGAACTGCCATCAATACGTGAACCTCTTGTAAATTTTCAAAAAGAACGTGCGCGGAACAAAAGCGAAAGCCACATTTTGAAAACCACCCGCCCTCAATCCGTGAAGCTCTTGTAAATATTGAAAACGAATGTGCGCGGCGCTAAGGCAAGAATCACATTTGAAAAACAACCCGCCCTCAATCCGTGAAGCTCTTGCCAATTTTGACAACGAATGTGCGCGGCGCTAAGGCGAGAGCCACATTTTGAAAAGGAACCGCCATCAATCCGTGAGCTCTTGCAAATGTTTGAAACGAATGTGCGCGGAGATGAAGCGGAGCTAGGGCGAGAGCTAGGGCGAGAGCTAGGGCGGAGCTAGGGCGAGAGCTAGGGCGAGAACGAGTGTTGGAACGGATGTGCGCGGAGCTAGGGCGAGAGCCACATTTTGAAAACCACCCGCCCTCCATCTGTGAAACTGTTCACTTTTTAAGCTTCAGAATCATCCATGGTGAGGAAGTTTCAAGCGAAACGCCCAGCACGCCCTAAAAACTGGCCTCGGGGTGCGACAGGGAGACGTTATCTATAATGACAAGGAATTGAGGATGAAGATGATGAGAGGAGGAGGAGGAGGAGGAGAAAGAGGAGGAGGAGGAGGAGGAGGAGGAGGAGCAGGACGAGGAGGAGCAGGAGGAAATGGAGGAGGAGCAGGAGGAAAAGGAGGAGGATGCTGAAGGATGAGGATGAGGACGAATAGCAGCAGCAGGAACTGGAGTGGAAGGAGTGAGAGGAGGAGGAGGAGGAGGAGGAGGAGGAGGAGGAGGACCAGGGAAAGGCGGAGGAATGCAAAGGAGGAAGCGACAAAAATGGAAAAGGACTCGGATGCAGAGAAGTGGCCCGTGCTGGGGCAGGTGCGCCAATCTGAACGACGGTGGCACAGCGCCAGTCCGAAAATGACGCCTACGCTGAAGTGGGAGCATAATAAAAAAACGAAAACAATGGTATTGTAACAACGCTAGAAACAACTCGGCCCAATCTTGTGTAAAAGAAGAGATGCGGAGGGATGCCCGAGATCTTCCGGACAGGGTCAGGGGAGAGAGAAGAGTTTGTGGAACCGTAGAAGAGGAGGAGGAGGAGGAGGAGGAGAAGCAGCATCAGCAGGAGAAGCAGGAAGAGGAGGAGGAGAAGGAGGAGAGGAGGAGGGAGGAAGGAAGAGGGAGGAGGATATGGACGAAACCAGGAGGAGGATCAAATCAAATAACATCGGGTGAATATATCTCGAGAATCTCTCGGATCCGGCGGTTCTGGAAAACGTCTCGGGCGCCGCGGCCTTCTCAGAGCGTTCCGGAAGGCTCTGCGAGCGGTCCGGAAGGGCGCCCCGTCCTCAAGGAGAAGGAGGAGGATGAGGATGAGGAGGGGAGGAGGAGGAGGAGGAGGAGGAGGAGGAGGAGGGGAGGGAGGGTAGGAGGAGGACGAGGGGGAGGAGGGGAGGAGGAGGAGGAGGAGGAGGAGGAGGAGGAGGAGAAGGAGGAGGATTGAGGAGGAGAGGAGGAGGATGAGGAGGAGCGAGAACGAGTAGAAGGCAGCGAGGAAAGGAGGAGGATTCCGAGGTTGTTGTTGAGGGTGGAGGGAGAGGAAGAGAGGAGGAGGAGGAGGAGGAGGCGGAGGAGGAGGAGGAGGAGGAGGACGACGACGACGAGGGGGAGGAGGGGAGACGAGGGGGAGGAGGGGTGTGGGGAAAGGGGAGGAGTAGGATGGAGGAGGAGGAGGGAGGAGGTGGAGGAGGAGGAGGAGGTGGAGGAGTGGGAGGAGAAAGAGGAGGAGTAGGAGGAGGAGGAGGAGGAGATGAGGAGGGGGAGGAGGAGGAGGGTGAGGAGGAGGAGGAGGAGGAGGAGGAGGTGGAGGAGGAGGGAGAGGCGGAGGCGGAGGAGGG